ATTGTGCTCAAAAATGGTACACGCTTACTACATTTGATTTACAGAGAAACAATGTGTGTACTGCTTTGGCAAGGCGCACACGATTAACTTCTCCGATTATTCTTTTACATCTCTGGATTCTCATTATATTGGATACAACAACTTCACGTCACTTGCTCTCTCATTGGTGCTTCAAGTAGTTAGTCGCTACCCACGCGGGACTTTCTTTTCACAGCTTTTCTTCTTCGTGTGTATTTTTGGTGTTATCACTGTAGTTTCGAGACACGTGAGCATTCGCACGTAGTTTCATCGTAGGAAATTTCAGCCGAGTGCAAAGGCGCGTTGAACAACCGGATTTCCAAACATGCTTTGAGGCTTTCACAGACCGCCGCGGGAGATCCGCAGTCTACGCGGAATGGCCGCAGCGGAAGTTTCGCCTCCCGTGTGGCCTTTCGAGCTCGTTCAGACCTGCGCGGATTGGCAGCGCTTTCTTACCCGCGGAACGCAGTCGGACGCGTTTCGACGCTACCGCTCGAGATTCGTGGAAGTCCGCCTGCCTTCGGGAGTCTTTGCTCTCCTCTGCATCGAGCTCCCCCTAGATTTATTTAGTCAAAAAACTGTAAAAACTGTATGTGACGTATGGGAGAAAAGATCATCTACGCACGTTTTCTTGAGTTCCAGAATCCCTTCTCGTAATTTTAACTATAAATAGCTGAAAAATCGAGTAAAAGTTTAACATACAATTAAAAATAATTTTTAAAAAAATTTTTAAAATCGCAAGTACTTAGCAATATTTGAAAAATAGACATTTTCGTTTCTGAGTTATCGAAAACTTAAATTTGCATCGTAAACGAATTGCAAGTATGATTTTTCTGCATTGCTAACACAATAAGTAACTCGCACTTACGCTCTCTTTTACCATTACATGCAAAATGAGAGTTCAACAAAACCTCCGCATAGTGAATGCTATATTTACGATATCAGAAAGCAACAAGGGGCCATTGATATTATTGATAATAAGAATGTGAACATTCCAGTAACAATCTTGCTTTTCCAGAACTAGATCTTCATTTACTGTTCATTTACTTAAAAAGCATTTTTCCACTCGTTAGTGAATTTTAGGCGAAAATTAAAGATATGGTTTTCTGCGAAATACACCTTATAAATTTTCAAATCTTATTATGGTTACTGAACTATATTGGTATTCTTATTCATTAATTTAACTCAATCAATTTAATGCGGGGAAATACGGCTGTAATGTCTAGCTTTAAAAAAACTTATTCTTTAATATGAATATTACATGAAAAGTAAATTAACTATTATGTTAACCCAGATCAGTATTCTATAAAAATTCCAGTTCTACATTAATTTATGTAGAGTAAAAGTTAAATTTTGGCTAAAAGTGTCCTTCTAAATCTTATTTACAACAAAACTAATTTGTTGTAATCTCCTTGTTCACGGCGTTTTCACCAAGCTTCTCGGATCTTCTTTTCACATCCTGGATTCATTATATTTGAATCACACAACCTTCAGTCCACTTGCTCGTCCTTACCTCGCTGCTCAAGTACGTAGTCGTGTCTACCAGGCAGAGGCACTTTCTTTTCAGCTTTCTATTTTCGCTTTTATTTTTGGATGGCTTTATTCACTGTAGTTCGAGAACCGTGAGAATTCCGTAGTTCAATCTGGTAGGAATACTTTCAGCGAGTGCAAGAGGCCGTTGACAACAAACGGATTTCAATACATGGCTTATGGAGGCTTTCACAGACCCGGCCGTGGGAGATCGCAGTCTAGCGGAAATGGCCGCAGCGGAAGTTTCGCCCCGTGGTGGCATTTAGTCTCGTCTCCGTTAGATCCTTATGCGGCGGATTGGCAATCGCTTTCTTTACCCGCGAACGCAGTCGGACGCGTTTCGACGTCACCGGTGGGCTGACGATTCGTGGGAGAGTCGCTGCCTTCGGGAGCCCTTTTGTCATCCTCTGCATTCGAGCGTCCCCCTAGATTTATTTTAGTCAAAAAACTGTAAAAACTGTTGTGCGACGTATGGGACGAAGGAAGATATCTACGCACGTGTTTTCTTGAAGTTCCAGAATTGCCCTTCTGTAAGTTATTCAACTGATAAAATAGCTGATGGTAAAGACTTTAACCATAAATAAACATTAATTTTTATAAAAATAAATTTTTAAAATCGACAATATTACATATTTTGAACAAAATAACATTTTTCGTTTCTGGAGTTATGGGAAAACTTAATAGTGCTCGGGTAAACGAATTGCAAGTATGATTTTTCTGGGCATTGCTAAACACAAAATAGTAACTCGCCCTTACCTCTACTTTTTACCGCGCATGTAAATGCAAATGAAGGTTCACAGAAAACGCTCGCATAGGGTGAAGCTATTATTATCGATCAGAAGCAAACAAGGGACATTTGATATTATTGATCAAATAAGATGTGACATTAGTAAAATCTGCTTTTTCCAGAAACTAGATTCTTCATTTTACTGTCATTCTATTAAAAATATATTTTCACTCGTTGAGTGTGTTTTAGTGCATTAAATTTAAAAAATGTTTTTCTCGAAAAAACGTTATATTAAATTTTCAGAGAATATTTTAAATGCTTATGAGCTATATGGTATTCTGTAATTTCATATTTAACTCAACAAATTTTAATGCGGGAAAGTTCGGAGCTGTCATTTGTCCTTTAGTTAAAAAACTTTTTTTAATATGAGATATTACTATGAATAGTAGAATTTAACTATTATGTTAACGAGTAAGCTTATAAAAATTCAGTTCTACAGTTAGATGTTAGGTAGAGTAAATTAATTTTGCCAAAAATGTACCTTACTAACTTTATTTACAAGAAACTATGTGTGTACTGCTATTGTGCACAGGCGCCACATACTTTCCCGATTATTCTTTTACCATCATCTGGATCTCATTATCATTGATCACAACAACTTCACCGTCACTTGCTTCTCCTCATGCGCTTGCTCAAGTAGTAGTTCCCGCTACCCACGGGGCACTTCTTTTCACGCTTTCTTGCTTTCGCTGTTATTTTTTGGCTGTTATTCACTGTAGTTTCGAGAACACGTGAGCATTCCAGTAGTTCATCCGTAGGAAATCTTCAGCCGAGTGGCAAGGGCGTTGACAACGCGGATTTCCAAAATCTTTGGAGGCTTTACAGCCCCGGACGCGGTGAGATCCGCGAGTCTACGCGAATGGCCGCAGGGATAGTCTTTAGCTCTCCTGTGGCTTTCGAGCTGCGTTCAGACCTGACGCGGATTGCGCGCAGCTTTTATCTTACCCGGAAAGCAGTCGGACGCGGGTCGATCGTCTACCGAGCTCGAGATTGTGGAAGTCGCGCTGCTTCGGAGTCTTTGCTCTCCTCTGCATTCGAAGCTCCCCCTAATTTTATTTAGTCAAAAAATGTAAAAACGTAACTGTGACAGTGATGGGAGAAAGATCATCTAAGCACGTTTTTTGAGTTCCAAGAATCCTACTCGTATATTTAACTCATTAAATAGCTGAAAAATGAGTAAAAGTTTAACATAAATAAAAGTAATTTTTAAAATAAATTTTTATAAATCGCAATATTAGCAATATTTGAAAAAAATGAACATTTTCTGTTTCTGAGTTAATCGAAAATTATTTCATCGTAAACTGAATTGCAAAGTTAATGATTTTTCTGCATTGACTACCAACAATAGTACGTCCGCGCTTACTTTCTACTTTACGAACGATTACATGGACAAAATAGAGAAGTTCACAAACCTCCGCATAGTGAAGCCTAATATTATAGATCAGAAAGGCAAACAAGGGGCCATCTCAGGCATTTGCTCATGGAATCAGGGAAACTGAACAAAACCCTGATCGCGACCTGAACAAAACCTGATTTTGTTTATCGGATGAGGAAAGCTGTCACCAAACGCTGAGTGATAATTGACGCTCGTATGTGAACAGTCCCGCGGATTCCGCCGCCGCGTCTTGCGCGGAGCGTTCCGCGCCGCACTCGCTGCGGATCTCCCGCGCCGCCCTGTGAGATGTATTCTGTATCGGAGCACGACCGGGTTGGGACGATTCGCTAAAACGTAACGCAACCAGCTGTCTACAAGTAACTTCGACGCCATATTTTACAGAATTTATTGCAAGTAGTAAACAAGGACTGAACTGGGATTAAATTGAGCTATATGCCGATTATGTGTAGGGACAGACCTATAAAACATCATGTGACTAGGATTAGAACAGTATGATGTTTCTGTATGAAAGTCCCTCTGAGTTTCACCGTAATTATTTTAGAATCGTTACACGATAGTTATATTTATATGCAGCATTCAGAAGTTCTCGTAACATTACGCATGCAACATGTATTATTACTATATTACGTTACAAACTAAAAGTAAAAGACAAAAGAACATTACGTATGTAGCACGAAGACAACTTTACAAAACATAAATAAAATATTACATTAAAACGCACGACATGAGTTTACAATATGCCTACGTACACCTTCAATGGACAACACGCATACACAACAGTTACATTTATATACAACATCCGTCCATTAAGAAGGAAATGTTACACAGTGATTAAGAAGTTTTAATTTTAGGTAGTGGTGGACAGACGACCTCGAGCAACCACCTATGAACGATCGCGCAGGGAGCAGATCTTTGCTCCACCGCTGCGAATGTAAGTGTGATGAGTGTGTGTGTTCATGGAGGTATGAGAAAAACGATATCAGAAGGGAGTATTTTTGTTTTGCATTGTGTCAGTTTAGAGTAATATTGAGTTTATTCTATATTACTAATATACTATACTAATTACTATACTAATAATTGAGTAATATTTAGAGTATATGGGCAAAATAAGTGATGGTAATAATAGATTTAATTCTTTCCGTGGCGAGTGTGTGTATGGGAGAGTTTGTTCGTTGAAGGTTTTTGGAGGGCAGTAAGTTTGCGTGGGCGTCACCTAGAGGTGGCTTTAGTGCTTTAGGTTTTCGTTCTGTATTCGTTCTGTCTGTTTAGAGCAATATTAAGTGTGAGAGAAGTGAAAGAAGGAATGGGTGTTGATGTTTGTATAGATAGGGTTCTTTCCGTGGCGAGAGTGCGTATGGCTGAGTTTGTTTTTTGGATGGTTTGGAGGGCAGTACGTTGGAGTGAGTAGATTTAAGGAGTAAATAATTTTCATATGAGTGGCACTCTACTCACTTAGAGGTGGCTGCAGTGCCACTCATATATAATAACTTTCCGTCCGAGTGAGGAGCTTCGGATCGTTTTGACACAGCGGTCTTCACGCATGCGCGGCAGAGATGATATTTAGTTTTCTCCGTAAATAAGCAAATTTTGAAAAGTGGCAGGAGAGAAGAAATGCGCCACGTCATTTTCTTCTGCCCCTCTTTGATGTGAGATTGCCAGGTGAACCTGTAGTCGAATGTAACGCCTAGATAAGAGAAGGTGAGTTTCCTCGGAAGAATGCGACCATTTGGGCGGATGGGCGCGACAGTGTTGTTTGTGTGTGAGAATAATGGCTTGGCACTTCTGTGCATTCAGCGCGAGGGCATTTTTTGCTCTCCAATTCGATAGTGAATTTGCGGAGTATAGTAACGTTTTGATGGTAAAATTGATCCAGGCACCTTTCACTGCGTATGCTACGTCGTCAGCCGTATATGAAATCGTTTACTCCTGCGATGGTAGGCGCATCGTTAATAAAGATAGAGAAAAGGAAAGACAAGAGAACAGCGCCTTGAAAGACGCCAACATGATTAGAATGAGATGAAAAGATGAACATCTGATATTTCACAGGGAAAGAGTTATGTGAGAGATAGCTTGTTACTACGGTTAGTAGTTGGGATGGGATGTAGGGCGAAGTAGGTGAAGATGTAACGTGTCGAAAGCCAGGGATAAATCAAGGAAAGGAGCAGAAAGAGAACAGTGGCGACTACAACGTTTAGAAGCAAAGAACGCGAAACGAAGTGAAAGTATCGCAGAGGAGTGTTACTTACGAAAGACGAATAGCTTCGCCCGAATTACGCCTCTATTCTCGAAATCCCGTTGTATTCTGTTGAGAATGATTTTCTCGAAGTGTTTACCTACAGTAAGAGATAGAGAAATGGGCCGTAGTTTTCTGGGAGACACGAGTTCTTATTCAGTTTCATAAGCAGTATCACGATAGTCGCTTACCAGATTGAAGGAAAGTATTGCGTAGAAATGTAAGCAGTGTAGATTTGTGCTAAGAGGTAGGCCGCCATGTGAGGTAGATGACTACACATTGTGCCTGAAAGCCTAGCCACCCTATTTCTTTGTGTTTATGTTTTTGAGCGAACCTCATCCGCTTGGATGAACCAGTCTGAAGAAAATTCAGTTGAAGGAGAAGGGTCGATGTGAATTCCCGCCGCGGTGGCGGCAAGTCGCAGCGAGTGTGGTGTGAGCGGCGGCGTATATATCGTTTTTGCTGCGTATCTGCGAATACTTCTGCTTTAACAGCCCGGTCGTAAATTGTCGGGAGCCCGTTTGGGCGTTCGAGTGCTGTTATTGCAGGAAACAGGTTTCTGAGAGCTCTTTACAGTTTCCAGGAATGTTGAACTTTGTTGATTTGAGATTTTTCAACGTACCTTTCCCACATCGCGTTTCGGTGCACCCACAGACGCCACGAGGATTTTCGTCGTATATAATGATATTACTCACGCAACTTGAACGATGGATTGCAGAAACGCAGGAGGAGTGGGGGTATTACAAAATCGGCCACTAGATTTTTTGAAGTGATGACAATCTCTGGAGAATCAGTCATGCCTTCGCAACTTTCTCAATAATTTACATCCTAACTTTCTCAGGTGTTCAAGGTATCTCCTGTGATGGATCTTCACCTGCTTCGGTCATTTTTTAGATGCTTTTGGAGAAAATCAAGGACAGAAGTTTTCGTCTTCAACAGAAAATATTTTCTATTTCGATGTGTTTGAAAAGTTGTCATCAGTGCTCGTTGCGAGCATTTGCTTTCAACTGTTTATTGTCCCAGAGAGGGGAGCCAGGTATCGTTTGAAGAAAAGTTTGCGCTTAATAAGCTTAAACACGCTTATTGTCCGATTTTCTTTAGAATGGGATGATTTGACAGTTAGTGCTGGCAACAACAACTGGGCAATTTGTGGTCGTTGTGTCTTGAACTCAATTAGACTCTCCTTCCTCCATTCGTTTCGTTTTGCAGTTGGCTTAACGTGTAATAGTTACGACGTCCCCTGGCTGTTGATGTCCTCGGTCCGACGCCGGAACTATAGTGCGCACGAGAAATAATTGAATTAGGAAGTGCAGAGCTTTGTGTCTTCTGTAAAAATTCTTTCTTTATATAAAAAACTAGCATTGGATTGTTTTTATGTGCTAAGTACTATGTTTTGTTTTTAAAATCGAGTCTTGAAATGTGAGATGCGTATCGTGACGGTGCACGTGTTTACTTCTCTGAAGTACACGTGATGTTCACCTTTGTTTGTTGAACTGTTCACTTTATCCCATTCTTAAAAAATTGTTCTATATCTGTGCGTCGGGGTCGTGCGACCGCTCATTAATGCGTTGCGCCTATCGTCACTCTTGAATAAGGCAGATATGTTCAAATGGAGCTTGTGATGGAGAGGGAGTTTCTGTGATATTTTATGGAGTTTTCATTGAAGACGGTTATAAGTTGATAATTTAGATGGTTGATTGCGCGATCTGTGTAGTGACTAGTGGAGAGCGATGGATTTAGTAGGCGTTTATCGGTTCATTTGGTTAGAAAGTTGTCTTGATTTTTGTGGGGGCGAGAGTGGTGAATAAGTAATTTTGAAGGGCAAAGATGACGGGAATATGATCAAATGTGAGGTCGTGAAGGGGGCTGGGAGTTGTGAGAGTGAGGGAGGGAGAGTGAAAAGCTATATCAAGGATTTGGCCTTCTGATGTGTCTTTGAGGGGATTTTTTGAGGGGATTTGTTCTTAGGTGGGTTATGGATGAGGGTGGGGAGATGCGGAGTTCATTACTCCTACACATATAATGTAATAAACGAGTGCCTGAGGTGTTTATCACGCGGCATGCCCAATCCAGATGTTTCGCATTTAGGTCGCCCTCTTATAATTGGTGCCCCTAGCCAGGGTTTACAGATGGGGAATTTTTTCCCCAATGGGGATTGTTTTTCGTTGTGGAACATTTGCAGGAGAAATTATTTTCATTCGAAGTTGAGATAGAAATATTATTCTCTTAATTATCACGATTAGAAAAGAAACAATAAACGTTATTCTCTCATTTTTATGTATCAAAAACATGCAATAAACGACAGTCGTAGAGAGAAAAAAAACATGAGAAACGCGAAGACACAAGGCTTTAAACAACTTAAAGAACGACGAATGGTTGATTTGTAATAATGGAATCATTAGGGACAGATTATGCCGTCGGATAATATTTTGCCTTTCAAACTTGGGGAATTTGGTTTAATTGGCGAGGTTATTTGGAGAAATTCTCAAGTATTGAAGCGGAAAGAGCTTGCAACATATCTGGCAAACCTGCCCCTAGCATTAGCACCAAGATCGCTCTCCTTGAATGGTTCCTAAAGCCGTGTGTTAGCATATGGAGTCGCCCGTCGTAATAACACAAAGGAGAGTCGAAAATGCTGGAGTGTCGCTGCTCTCCAAATCATAGAAAGTTCGCTTGGCGTAGGACATGTTCGTCGGAGCCATGATTCTCTCATGGGAGAAGGGGCATGTCCTCCGGTAGATACAGTGGTTGCCACAAGGTTTGATCCGTTTGGCGTTGACCCGAGCGTCCGCCACACCACCTGCTTCAGTCACTTGTCACCGCCACCTCCAGGGATAAAACATTATTAATTTATTACTTTCGAGACTTATGATCTAACCATCTGACACCCCTAGACACCCAAGATAATGAACCAAAAAATCTAACGTTCCATCCGATCTCCAATTAACTGATTATTTTACCAGTTGAATCTGTGCAATTTCTTAGCACGGAGGAAATCCCCTCAGAAAACTTTACGACAGAAAAATATATTTAATGGCACAAAATTGACACAAAAATCGAAAAGCATCAAAAATTGTATTTCATTTCGTTCAGTATTTATTTTCTTAGATTCATTTAGAGATATTTAGAAATTCATAAATAAAATGATCGCTATTCACAGTGGAAACTACGGTATATAAAAATGTCACTAAATATGAAATAGAATTTTTTTATTTATCAAATTCTCCAAAGGTGTGTTGGTGATTATAGTAGGACATTCCATACAATGTTAACATAAAAAGTAACGCAACACATTTAATTATTATAACACAAGTAAAGACAGTTTTGTCAAGACACGTGTCGGACAATTACTGGGCATTACATTTCCCACATACACTCACTAATCCTACCATTTCAATACACTCATTAATATTTAAACTTAAAAATCACGCATTGAAATGTGTTTTCGATAGAAATAACGGAACTCGCAAAACGATACCACCTCGTTAACCACCTACATGGAATGCTGTATGTATCGAAAACAATCTAATAAACAGCAAACTAATTTTACTATTATGATTTTAACATATTATATACAATTTAGTGATATATTGTAAACAGATTAATGAAGCAAAATATTAACCCATCTGAAGTCCACTATATTTACCAGAGTAAAAAATGACGAATTTGGTTGAGAAGAAAACCAACATTCACCAATAAACGACAATTTCACACTTTCAAATAAATCGATTCTAAGAATATTACGTATATGAAATTCAGGTTTGATCATCTAATAAGGGATTACACTATCGACTTCTGTATTACCACTAGATGTTTAAACTTCAAACTACCATTTGACCAACAGCGTCCCAAATGATCAAACGCATATTTAATGTCTTTGACATCTGTAAAATTATGTGTGTAATTGTAAACGTGCATAGACCTTCGATCACCAACTCATCACCAACGACAACAAAAGACTTCGACAACACACCGCACAAGTTGGCAACGGAATGACCCCATCAAGGCTCCTGGAAGTTCACCGAACGGGCGTTCGCTGCCTGAGAGAGTCCCCACAGAGAGTTAGGCCTTGCCAGCTCTGAGAGAGAATGCTGAGAGCCTTCGTCGAAACGCGTGTCTACTGGAACCATGGCGCCCCAAGGATCTGAATGATCTCTCTCCAACCTAAGTAGAAAGTAAATATAAAAACGAAAAAAATATTCATAGTAAAAATATTTACTATTATATTTGTATAAGTAATGGAATACGTTATTTTTAGGCCTGGTTGCTTCACCGCATGTTCGTACTGAGCCTAAGAGAGGCCGCCGCAGGCTTCGGGGCCATGTCCGCTGCCAGCTTGTTAACTGCGGGCCTTGGGCGTTCGCGTCTCTTTTTGAAGGGACCAGGCACTAGTGCTGCCCGAACTCTGATTATTAATTTGAGTAAGTAAATTTCAAAATTCAATAACTTATCATGAAATAGAAACTAAAGATACAATATTAGAGGTGATGGAATCTAAGCGGGTCGTTTTTCTAATGACTATACATTTTTTATTCATTTTTAGTGTATGATGATTGCGCTAATATATTTGCCTAGTCACGTATCCTAAAAAGCCTGAGGGCTAGAAGTCGCTTGACAAATATGCAGTTTCATAAACGTATTTGTTAACTTTTGTGTAACATTACGCAAAACGTATTGACTTTTTATTGTTCGATCATTTTTTATTTATGTGGATTTCAAAGTATTCTCTTCAATTTTCAATAAACAATATACATATTTTAAGATCAAAAGCTCATTCAATCATTGAATAGTGGTAATCTAACCTCTGTTGCATTAAAGATCATTTATGGGAAAATGTAGTAATTGACTAATAAAGTTCTTCACGGAAACTCCTAATACGTTGTATCATTCACTAAATCAACATGAGAATAAAACAAAATACTATCGTATTTTGTTTTTTAATGTTATTATAAAATTTTTTATAATGTTTCTTACTACTCTAATGAATTCACTACTTAATAACTACTTTTGGCAAGCGACTTAAAGCCCTCCCCGCTATATTGGGAATAACACAAACTACACAAACTCTGCAATAAGAAAAATCCTAACTTTTGCATGTTGTTGTTATCACTTATTCTTTTTCCGGCTCGTGTACACTTCTCTGTAGTGTTTAATGTTAAACGTGATTTCTCAACACAATGGTTAAGTTAATACGTGCGAGAAATAATCGGCTGAGTTGCTACAGGGCAACAAATGATGTCACTGTAGTGCCTCTGACTATGAGGTCCTAATTCCGAGTAATGACAGGATGGAAAGATCTTCGACACTTGCTAGACACCTTGATCGCATTCAGCCGCTGTCTTGAATAGAAATTTTCCAGTCAGCTCCTTAAATTGGTAGTTTTCCGTGGTTTCTCTGATCAATATCAGACGGATGACGGAGCAAAAATCTAAAAAACAGGTCTCAGACCGCACGCGATCTTTCTTTCCTCTTTCTTGTTCTACCCCTTACTTTCCCACACTTACTCATACACTTGCATCCACTACACTACCACATATATCGGGTACTTAAGATACGCTTGCCGCGGCTGGGGCAGTGCCTTGCTGGCAAGATATTTAGATGAAATTCTCGCAATCCGGCGTGTAGGTCCCAGGCTTTTGTTCTAAATCCCAGACTTTTGGTCTAAATAATTCCACAATGATTTCTTTTACATTAAACAGAATTGCTCATTCAAACTGCCCACACAGTGAAATAATAACACCACCTTCTAACAAAATGTGTGTGATCATCTAAGATTTACAAATATACATAATATAGGAATTATGAATCAATAGTGTGGAATACATTGCTTCATAGTGCCGTATATTCAAAAGTTTACTTAAAAATAATGCAGGTTTTAATTTGTCTTAAAAAACTACTGTTTAATTTTAATATATTCATTTCCTTGTAATTGAAATTTCATAAATTTCTTGCATTCCTTTTTTCTACAGATGACTATTCCCTTGACCTAGCGGTAGCTCCCTCATAGAGAACCGTCACGCCAGCTCTACCTGTGGAACGTCTGGAAAAACGTTGACAGCTAAGAGATCACGTACCAACCGACAAATAGCCCTACCTGGGCAGGAAACATCGACTTAACGTCACTGGGCAAACTGTTCGTTTCTAAAGCGGTTTATTTGACATGACGAAAGTTCTTATTGAACTGTTATATCAATATAATGGGAAACACTAATTATACATAATATTACTTAGTGAAGAAGCTAATTTATCCACTGAGTTCTTATGAAACTTGTATTGAATATTGAAGGTGAATTAAAATAAATTCAACCACATGTTTCAAATGTTTTTCATTTTCAGAATAGTTTTCAGACCTATTGCTACAAATCGGCTAATACTTTTTCGCACTACTTAGATCCTTTCTTTGGAATTGGGGCTACCACGGTGTGAGAGATCTTACATAATCCATGGCGTAACAGAATCATATCTCAACAAGGGGGCGAACTTCTGAATTTCCCCGTACTTGTTTCGCGACAGCCCCCTATTGAGGGTTAAGATTTTAACTTGGTGAGAAAAACATTAATAAGATGTTTCTGCGCTTTCTAATGTTCCACTTCTAACAATTCCCAGTAGAAAACTTCCCACAGGTTCCGGATTTCCCGGGAGAGTCCCCCAGTGACTTCGAATTTCTCGATGGACTGTTGGTCCGCTTAACAACGATTCGTTGGATAAATTTGTTTGTTCGTTTGCTTCATTACTTTTCGTTCTCTTGTTCAGTAATATTGAGTTGTTCGAATTCAAAATAATTGCGTGATGTTTAATAAGAAAGAACCAATAAAATTACCAAGGGAAGTGTGTTTTCAGTAAAAATTTAAAGACAAAGTTTACATTTTCAAAAGAAACTACTGATTGTTCCAAAGAAAAGGGAAATTTGATATTAGCTACGCGTATTTAACTTTTAAAATTTTTAAACATTTTTTATTCATTAGTCGTAGTTTCATACTCTTCTTTCTTCTTCAAGTTCTCTTCTTTTTTACTTTCTCGTATACGTACGTATATACCGAGTAATATTCGTAGTATAGAGACAGATATGTAAAGCTTCGGCAAAAAAGGGCGATTTTTCGACAGGAAAACTTTTAGTGTGGGGTCCTGATACAGAAAAAGTGGATAAATTCTGTTCTGGCTTGTAGTTAATTACTCCCTCCTATATTAGGTAGTCAGATTTAAGAAATTGTGGGTCCTTGACACCGAAAAAGTGTTATTTTGTTTCGTATCGTTCGTTTGTCCGTCTGGTGTATGTGAACAAAGTAGCGCCTAACCTATACGTAGAAAATTTTCCTAACTGAATAAACACTGTCGATCTGACCTCATTCAAAGCTCTTCGATTTTGAAAAACATTCATTAATTTTTGGATATAATTTATAAGAAGCGCCTGCGACATTTTCAAATTTTTTCTAAAAAATGGCTCCAAATTGTTTCTTTACGTTTCTTGTAAGAGTAAGGGAAATGCACTTATAAAGATGCTATAGGCCTGATTTTCACAATTTACTCTAATTTTTGAATTGCACAATATTGAATTTATTTTTCGTCATTTTCCTACAACTACAAAATTGAAAATGAAGATTATTCCTTCAAGTAAAATTTTTCACCATAATTAGTTCTTTCAGTAAGGTACTTTTTTGAAAATATTAGTCGTTTCTGCATAATATTGGGTGCAATATGTACAATATTAAAAAATAATCCAATTTTTTGAAAACGTCTCCAAATTTTTTCCTCCAAATTTTGGAAGGGACTTTCGTTAGAGTAAATTGAAAAAATTGAGAAAATGTCAAAAAATGTACTTTGGGAAGCGATAGATGGCAGTTGGTGAGAATATGTGGCAAATCCGAAAAGCTAGCCCAGACCAAAGAAATTAGGAAACTAATTAGTACGAGAAAGGCTGTATAATTCTGTTGTACCACTATTTTTTTCATAATAAAAGGAGCAAATTGTTTCTGAATTTATAATGCATTCAGAATAATGGTATTTTGTTATTTTAGAGACACCTTTAATCATAATCATGATGTGCCCCAAAAAACGAATGGTACAACAAAATAGCACGTTTTCTAATCTATTTAGTATATGCTAGCTGTCCAGTATTGCCCCAATCTCTTCCCAGTTGCAACCAACCGATAGTACGGATTTTACGTAACAAGATCGTATTTTACGTAAACAAGACGGCGATGCAGGTGATTCACGTACGAGTCGAATTTGCCGTTCAAGCGTAGAAAGGACGACAAAGAGACGAGTGTGGGAAACACCTTGCGCCCATTTGCGTAAACTATTTTTCAACAAGCTGGGAGCGATATGCATAGCGTGAAATAAAGGAATATAAATTAAATATAAAATAACCAGAATTACCCTACTTCTACGAAAGTAAATGAATTTCAGTCAGTGTAGTAACACTATTGATCGTAAATAATGAACTAAGACGTAGTCAACATGAAAGACATTAGGGAATCATTCTAGATGTTTCGCACACACTTCGCGATGATCCGCACTGCACACTGTGAAAAAAAATTAGCTGTTTCGCACACGGAAAACAAGCACGAGAAACCGCGTTTGCCGCATGTCGTGTTAAAAATTTTGTGCAACATGTTCTCAGTTTTTGGATTTCCTAATAGCAGAATCGAAATATGTCTTTCAGAACACAACAGAAGAGTAAAAAAGTGCTGTAAGCAAATTAGTATTGGAAAATTTGACCCCGTTCTTGAGAAAATGCCGTTTGTGCGTTTACGAAAATCCGCAATTTTGCGCTCATTTTTACGGAAACGTTTTTAATTTCCGATAAACTTGTTCACGTGTGTTTTTAAGTTCCATAATGAAGAACAGAAAATGCCCGAATTGTAAATATTAACGACGTGAGAGGTATTTAAAGAAAATACGTTGATGTAATTTTTGAAAAATCAAAATAAATCACACGTTAATACTAAAAAAATGTAGAGCTAAATGCTAGGTGATGCTTAATATGTACTTTGCACTAATTTATACTGATGTGTGTACGTAATATATTAAATCAAACCTGTTAACAGTTACTGTCTGATGAGAAGAACGATTTAGTTCTCAATACATTTCAAATTAAACTTAAAAAATAAATTGCGTTGAAATTACTGTTTTTACTTTCTTGCTACCTCTTACGCTGTAGAGAGAAAGGAATGTAATGCTGCGCGAAAAACGGTGAATTTTCGTGAGATAAACTCTTTTTGCCGAATTCTGGTAACAAAAAAGTGGATAAATTTAGAAAAATTAATCATGTAAAACATGGTGTAGCCAGAGTTCATGATTCGTGAGTCCTTGATGCCGAAAAATCGACTGCCAACAAAACATTTGTCCGTCCGTCTGTCCGTCAGTCTGTCCGTGTCTATGAACAACGCTAGACGTAATCCGTTCAGCCAATTATCTCCAAAATTAATATTCCCCAAACAATCTTGCTGATGACACGACCCCTTGAATTTGAAATCGATGTTTCATTTTTTGGGGTACTTTACATGTAGCAGTTGGAACTTTTCAAAATTTAAAAAAATGGCTACAACATATTTGATTAAATTTGGTTGTTGGTTTCTGTGAATAACGTTTAAGAAAAATGTGTAGGTATCATTTTCGTTGAAATGCCTGATTTTTTGAAAATTGCAAAAGTTAAAAACTTGTTCGGAGTCTTCCTACGACTTAAATATGACCTTAGCAGTTGTCGCATCCGGAATCACCAACCAATCAATGAACGTGTGATCCGAGTGTTCTCGTTGAGATTTTTTCACTCAATAAAATCTGTTAAAGATAGGTTTTAAAATAAGGTCATCTAAATTTTTTCGAATATTTGAGTACTTTTCGAGTAATTTTGCTTGAAATATATGTAATTTTTAATTTTGCTTCAACATGTTTTTCTCAAAATGTCACCTAACTTTTTTGATTTAATTTTGACCTCGGATAGCGTACAAGACGCTTAAGCCAATGGTACTGGCTTCATGTTTGTTGAATATTCTGATTTATGAAAATTGCAAAAAATCAAAATATTTTCGGCGTCTTCCAACTACAATTGTGATGATACACTTTCTCATGTAATGTATTCATCAAATACAGGTCGATAAATAAGGTAATTTTAAGTTTTCGAAAATATGAGTATTGTGTAATTTGGCGTCAAACATGTTGCCGGTTTCGAATCTCCTACATTTGGTGAAGCTTAAGTTTTAGGGTACTTGGAGCAGTTGATGCTAATAAGTTAAATTTGTATACTATTTCTAAATTTTGTTTCAAGACGATATATAATAATATATATATATATATATATAATAATATATATATATTATATATATATATATTATATAGTATATAGTATCGCTGGGCTGTCGTTGCTCAATCGCATATGGCGGCGAGCTAAGGTCGATGCTTTTGGCCCCAGATACTCGGTATTACAGAGTACGTCATCCGAGTTAGTATCAGACAACACTGCTTTTTATGCAGAGTAGATTAAAGAGAAGGAGGGATACGAATGTGAGTTTCCTTGTTGGCACGTTCGTGTTTGTTGAAGGACTGCATGACAAGTCTTATATTGAATATTAAATGAAGTATTATAAATTATATTCAGAAAGAAAAGAACGACTACTGATGAGGAAAACTTGAATAAAATTTTGTAATTTTCTTTAAAATGAATTAGATGCGAATAACAATGTAACTTAGATTACTCCGGAAATGGTGTAAACGTTGCTTGTGATTAGATGGCAACCTACATTTGAATAAGCACGGGTAAAAAGCAGGAACTTATAGATAGACGTTCTGAGTCGTTTTGAGATTGGGATGTCAGTGGCTGACCGAATGCGTTAGAGAAATGGGGGAATTGAGTGATAGTAGGGAGTTGACAGGACGTACGCCAGAAGGAGACGGTACGTGAGAAGATTAGCGAGAGCTAGGCTGGAAGTGCCAAGGAGCTAAAAGATTTTATGGTGATTGAATCGGGTTCGCTGAGTGTAATTTGGCAAGCAACTCACACGGGCGGTCCTGGCGCCCCAATTAAGCAACGCCTCCTGATCTTGGATCTGGAGCCACAAGCAATGCGTTAGAGCTCCGGGCTTTTAACAGCCACTTTTGCGACACGCCGGACTGAAGCCCGCCAACACCTGGCTGGGGAGGCCATGCTTCGAACCGACATCATGGAGAAAGGACGACTACGATCCACAAGAATCACGATAAAAGTAGCCCCTAA